CTTTCTCTCTCTCTCTCTCTCTCTCTCTGGAAGTTTCTCTCTCTGCAGGAGCTTTTGAATTTTTTAGCAAAGTGGTCTTTCATGGAGCTGGCAGGGGCGGCAGGCAATGTCCTTCTCATTCCTCTACCCCAATGACAAAAGGAGGGAAGGGATGAATGACCAGTGGGGGCCCTGTCTGAGGCGAGGCTGGGCAGTCAGTCCCCCCTGAGATAATAAGGATGGTTGTGTAAAGACGGGCTAGGAGGAGGAGAGAAAATGAATGGTGATTAGAATTGAGCTGGAATGACCCCTGCACTTGCACAGCTCAGACAAATTTTAACGGGAGTGATGTGGTCAGGCAGCTTATTGACCAGGAAAGCCAGTGGCCTGTGACTTGATCCTGACTCCAGTGACCTCACGGGTGCCAGGTGGAACAGCCTCACAAGGATTTAAATGCTGCAATCTTCCAGCCTTTCTTCTGAGGCAGCTGTAGGGGGATTTGAACTTCCAACCTCCCAGTTAGCAGCTGAGTGACTCACCCAGGAACTCCCAGCCAGAGGTAAACAGCACCTCACAGGGAGGCTGCATCTCTTCAGCTCTTCATTCTCTGCTAATCCCACCCCCGGGAGTCCTTCTGAATAAAGTTGCTGCCCAGAACATACTGAGGAAGGAGGTGGACCCTGCAGACCAGCTTGTGGCTGGGAAATGGTCACCTGGGAATCACACTGTGTCTGCAGGCTGCCAGACGTAAGGAGCTCAGGTAACGTGGTCCTTAGTGTGCCATGTGGCTAACCAAAAATCCAAGCAACTCCAGTGGTTCAGATCCACCAGGAACTCCACAGGGGAAACATGGACAAGCTCTTAACATGAGGCCTCTGAAACCTAACAGAGTCCAGGCAGGTTCAAGGTTGAGTTCACCCCAAAGGGGGCTCCCTGTGAATCAGAATCCCCTTGAGGGCAGAGAGATGAGCTGGGCCAGAGGAAGGAGGAAGCTGAGGGGTAAAATTCACTCCTTGCAGGTAGGAGACAGGGTCCAGTGAACATGTACAGTTGTCACTGTCTACCAGTGGATGCTTGTGTGTTGCTGTGACAATTAATTGATGCCTATGAGTTCTGGTGCTGGCAAAGAATATTGACTACGCCACAGACTTCTCTGCAAGAAGTCCAGACAGAACGCTTCCTGGAAGTGAGAGCTGTGAGAATTTGCCTCACGTGCTCTGAACATGATATCAAGAAGGACCAGTCCCTGAAGAAGAATGTCATTTTCTTTTTAAATTAAAAAAATGATATTTTAATCAAAGTTTATAGAGAACTTGGATTTCCATTCATTCATTGTTGCACATTTTCTTCCCTGCCCCACACCCCCAGTTCACGTCATTCTTGCTGAAGTAGTAACTGATGTATTTCCCATTGATGTTGAGTTGAAACTGACTCCTGGTTGACCCTCCAGTGGGTGTCCAAGGCTATAAATTGCAAAGGCAATTGCCCAGATTTCTCCTGAGAAGTGTATGATGGATTCAGCTCCCCAGAGAGGTTTAGAGGTTTGTTGACAGTCGTGCTATTACCTAAGGACGGGGCCGAAGACCTCAATGACAGGGCTACACTGTGGCCACAACGATGGCTCAAACACAACCCTGATGACGAGGCTGGCCCGGGACTCAGCGGTGTTTCACTCTGTCTTCTGAGGGGGTCCTAGTGTTTGGACCAACTCAATAGCACCTAACAACCTCATGATGTTGAACGGGTTTGATGGGAGCTTCGACTACGTGCCACTCCCAGCAACATGCTCAAAGTATGTGAGGGGAAGCCTCATCATCCTCGCCTCCAAAGAGCACTCTGGCTGCACCCTCTCCAAGACCTATCTGTTCATTCTCTTGGCGTCCATGGGATGTTCAGTGCTCTTCTCCAATACCAAAGCTCAAAGGCATCAATTCTTATTCGGGCGTCCCTATTCATTTGCTAGGAGGGTCTATTCTTTGGAGAAGGACACGATGCTCAGAAAGGTAAAGAAAGGGCGAAGGAGAGGAAAGCCCTTGACATTGTGGATTGACACTGTGACTGCCATAATGAGGTCTAATGAGTCAGGAAGTGTGAGGATGGCGCAGGATAGGACAGGGTTCAGCTCTGTCACTCATAGGGTCGCTGTGGCTTGTACTTGACTCAATAGCACCTAACAACCACAACAAGACTAAGTGTCTAAGCAGGCAGGTCGCTGATCTACCTCCCCAGATGGGCCCGCGAGAACTGTCTAGGTCCAGAACCCTCACAGTAGGGTGCGAGAGTGGGTGCTGCTCCTTCCTTGAGTTGGGGCAGGTTTGGAGGTGGCTGACAACAGCCCCTCTTAACTGTGTTTGCTGCCTGTGAACAAACAACTGTTACCAGGGCCACATCTTGGATCCCTGCAGCCAAAGGGTCCTGTTTGCCAGGCCCCAGGTTCAAGAAGTCCTGGGCAAAGCTCCCACACCTTCCTGTTTTGCAGGTAAGCATATTCTCTGAGGACAGGGATTGAGAACACGGGTGGAGGGAGAGACGCCCCAGGCAACCTCTCAGGGCACCGCTGTGTGCTCAGAGGGCCAGAGGTAAACACAGATGTTTTTCCGCAGGATGGAAGTGTGTCCACGCTCTGCCCATGGTGGTACCTGGACATGGGCCTTCTTGGCAGACTGGCCCAATACAGCGGGAGGCTCCAGCTCTTTTTTTTTTTTGGGGGGGGGCAGGGAGGTCACACAGTGGGCTTCTGCTTAGCTCAGGGAAAGAAAACAAGCCATGCATAGCAGGGCCGCTGGGTGGGTGGTGCTGGGGGCCTGAGAGACTGGAGCCCTCTGTGCTCTGGACCTAGGGTCTCATCTGGATCTCCCCAGCAAGTGGTGTCTGCTTGCTGAAGGGGCTTCCAGGAGGCTGGCCAGTCCTCAAAGAAAGACTGTCTCAGATGAGCTAGACCTGTCACTGTCACGGACAGAGAGGGGATGGACACCACGGTCCACAGAAAGACAGTGTCTATCCAACGAGCTCACAAGCCAATGGAGGAGTTGGGAAGACTCAGATGATGACAAGGTGGGGTGTTCAGCTGTATCCTAGGAGTGCACCCCAATTGATTGTCCAATGGGGAGAAATGAGAGAGGAAAGAATTCCCCAGGGATGCGGTGCAGGGAGAGAGAGCCTGGGAAGACTCCCCAGGGAAGGACTTTGAGGAGATAGGGAGTCCTCAGTGGGGGGCAGAGGGAGCAGGGAAATGTGAAGACTTCTCAGAGGAGGGACGTAGAGGGCAGGGCGACTGGAGGGTCTGGGTGCTGAGCCCTCAGGTGATGGGAGTCCTCACCTTGGTGTGTGCACCCAGGACTCCCTCCTGGAGGCCCCCTGCTTCCTGCCTGAGCTGAGATGACCGCACAGCATCCATGTCCCTTCCTGGCATGACTCTGGGTCCCTCATCATCTGTCACACGGCCACTGGGGCAAGTCTGAGCTGATGCTTATGGCGGGGACCGTTTCAGCAGGTGTACGCCTAACCAGAAGCTATAGGCCTGAGGGCCCCTGGTTGTGGCCCCTGTAGGATCTGGACCCCTGGTCCCTGGTCCCTTTCCCAGTCCCCATGCGTGGCTTTGGATGGGATGCTCGTGTGAGAAGGCCAGATGGGGCAGTAAGACCACTGTATCCTCCCAAGGTTCCAAGGCTCCTCTGTCTCAGCTGAGCACAGTTCATTGTGACATGAGCCTGGCGAGGCGAGAGAGCTGGACAGCAGAGCTGAGCCGCTCACGGTTCTCAGCTGAGTGTCACCATCTCTCCATGGATTTTTCCCTCAGCCCCTGAACGCAGTGAACATTTACTGAGAGCCTGCAGTGGGCCGACCTCTGAGGTGAGGGGGGACAGAGGACAGGAAGGAGGAGAAAGGAGCTGCTGACCTCACAGGGCACTCAGCATAACACCCCGGGAGGGGGCATTACAGAGACCCCAGGCTGAGCCCCAGCCCAGCCCCTGGCAGCCGCTACATGTCAGGAGAGCCGAGAAACACAAGGGGTGTGTGTGTGTGTGTGTGTGTGTGTGTGTGACAGAAAGAGAGACAGACAGACCGGCAGACAGAAATGTGTCACAGTGTGTGCTTGTGAGAAAAGGTGTAAGGATGTGTGTGTGTGTGTGTGTGTGAGAGAGAGAGAGAGAGAGAGAGGATTGAGAACACGTGGAAGCATGTGAAGATGTGCAAGAGTGAGTGTGAGTGTGTGTGAGTGTATGAGTGTGTGATGTGTGGATGTGTGTAAGAGTGTGAGAATGTTTGAGTGTGAGAGCACATGAAGGTGTGTGACTCTGTGTGTGTGGAAGGGAGTATGTGAGCATTTGTAAGTGTGAGTGTGTCAAAGTGTGCGTGTGACTGCGGTGTGAGTGAGTGAGTGCCTGAGCGTGTATGTGAGTGTCCAGGAGAGGAAGTTTGTGAGTTGTGTGACAGTATGTGTCAGCGTGTGTGAAACAGTGAACAGGTATGTGTGACTATGTGAGAGACTGTGTAAATGTTTGTGATAGTGTGTGTGAGAGAGTGCGTGTGAGCATGGGAGAAACAGTGTGTCAATGGTCATGAGAGTGTGAACGAGAGAGAGCCACACAGCTTGGGCGGTGATGCTGAGGCGTGGGTCTGTGAGGGAGACTGGATTTGTGTGACTGTGTGTGTGCACATGTGTGAGTGTGTGCAGTAAGTGGAGCATGTGATCATGTGCACAACTGTGTGTGACTGAGTGTGCATAAGCACAACTGTG